GGAGGTTGGGGGGGGGACAGGATTTACTAAAATGCGAGTCTGATCGCCCCACTCCCCCCTGGGCATAGCTTCCAATGCCCCCATGGCCCTTGGGCTTGGGTCCAAGCTCCCGGCTTCCCTTTCCGTCCTCGAGCCCCACCAGGCCAGGCCGGGGCTCCTCCAGGGCGCAGTGCTCACCCGCCAGCTCGGCCCCGCAGCTCCGCATGTGCTGTGCCTCTCCCAGGACACCCTTCTCCCTTGCCCTTCTAGTGAACACCGGACCTCCCAGGACCTATGAGACTCTGCTCAAAAGTCTCCCTCCCAACGGGCCTTCCTGGCCTTCCCTGGCTGAGCTAGGGACCCCTCCTCTGTACTCCCATAGTTCTCTATTTTTTGAACTGCAAATCACCCTGTGTCATAACTGTTTTGAAAGCAGGGAGCATGTTTTCCTTACTTGCTTCTATGTACCCAGTGCCCAGCACAGGGCCAGGCATACAGCAGGTGCTCAGGAAGTGCTGAGGGAATGAGTGATTCGAATTGCAGGGTTACCAGGGCACCGGCTACGCCAGGGAAGGTGTGTACTGTGGGGCTGAGGCATGTAGCAGGCACGTGGTGGCTCAGGTCTGGGAGGGAGCAGCGGGAGATTTGGGAGACATTTGATCTGCCAGCCCCTCCCAGGGAGGTAGGGAGGCAGAGTGAAGGGGGGGATGATCCCCGCCCTAATCCTCAGCCCCAGTGGGGAGAGAGGAATGTGTCTCCTGGCGACCTGGGAAATGGGGAGGTCAGGGCCCGCCCCTGGGAAGCCCTGCACCCTATTCAGTCCTGCTGGGGTTCTCCTACCAGGAAATCCCCAGAGGGGACTCTCACCCCCTCCCAAACCCTGGCCCCAAGCTTGCAGCACCCCTCTGGCTCAGGAGCCTGTGCGGACACCCTGGAACCCCAGGGAAGGGCGGTGAAGGCAGAGTAGGGGAGATCACCCGTCATCTTTTTCTTGAAATGCAGCAGAGGGGGCCAAGATTTCACAGCAAGAACTTGTTATTTGTGTACTTTTTCAGCAGTTGTTGCCTATATATTCAGTCTCGAGGTCTCCCTCTCTCCCTTGCTCGTGCAGGAGCGCGCGCACACACACACACACACAAATGCAAACAGACACGAATTCAGGGCACAGGTTCTCACATCTACATATAGACTTACAGGCTATAATCACACACACACATACCCCTCACCCTGAGCTGGAAGGACCCTCATAAATCTTGAATCCATCCTGCCACCCATAGCAGAAATCCGTTCTTCATTCTCTCCTTGCTCATCTCTGAGGACAAAGAGCTCACTCCTTCCAGAGGCCGCCCATCCCATTGGAGAACAGCTCTGGCTTGAGATCCAAATGTGCCTTCCTGTCCTTCCCCTTTAGCCCTGGCTTACTTGCTCCCACAGAATCCCCTGCTCCTCTCCATCTGACAGACCCATCCCCCAGGCTACCCTGCATACCCCAGGTGTCCCTGCCCCAGGCTGCCCTGCCACATGTGCCTGGGTGAGGTCTAAGCAGCTCAGGGAGAATGGAACCCTTCCCCACCCTGGTTGCTCTGCTCCCCATGACCACTGGAGAGTAGCACACCAGCCACAGATCAGTAAGGGCCGTGCAGAGAGCTATGAGGCTGGCGCGGGAGTGGCCAACCTTGAGGCAGGCCTGCTTCCTCCCCCACTGACCACAGTGCGGGACAGGCAGTGAGCAGACCTGAGACGCCGCCTGCTCAGCCCACTGCGGGCATCTCTGGGAATGAACCTGGGCCAAGGGCTGTGCTGCCGGATTCTCTTTTATTAGCCAAGTAGGACAGAGAACAGGTCACAACGTCACAGGAAGTCAGACAGACGGACGGATACACAGGACAGGGTGTCATGCTGCACTACACAGGAGGTGGGGCAGGGGAGGGGGAGGTTTGCGTCTTGTTTTTTCAACTAACAGAATAAATAAATACAGTACACAGTGTTTTTGCCACGGCTGGCACAATTTCTAAGCACAAATGGTCACAAAACAGCTGGTTTGGAAAGCAGTCTGTATGGCCCGCGGCCGTGGAGTCCAGACCCCTGGACATGCTCTGGGAAATGAGGAAGCAGGGAAATGGAGGCCTCAGACAGGAGGGGGATGGGGGTACAAGGCTTTCCTGGAAGGGACAGTCAGAGCTCAGGCCTCAGGGTGACCAGCAGGCCTGGACGGCTGCAGCTTCAGTCTCAGGTGCGGTGGGCCTGCCCAGGCCCTCTGCTCCCGCTGGAGACGCCTGGCACACCCTCTTCTTGCTCTCCAGCTGCTCTCAGGAACTGAGGCTGGTGCTCTAAAGGAGGTTGAGAGCTGCCCGGGGGCGGGGACCCCATACACTTTCCCTGCCTTCCCTGGGCTGGGGGAATTAGGTAATTGAATGAGGAAGTGTTGACAGAGCTGAGGGAAGCTGGGCTGAGCCTGAGGTGGGCCTGGCTCCAGCCATGACAGAATATGACTTTGGGGTGGACTTGCCCTTTAGGAGGACAAGGGAGGCTTCCTGGAGGAGGTGGTGATGTCTGGAGCTGTTGGATTCCAAGGCCCAGTGACAGTCATTTGCATCCCGGGACAGGCAGAAAGCTTCAGTCCCCAGGCCTGGTCTAGATCAGATTGTTTTCGTTTCAGAGACAGACCTTTCTCGAGCTGATCCCAGAGGACAAACCAAAAATCCCTTCTGTCTCCTACAGTCTCTGCCACCCTCCCATCCCCCTGCCTAAGTCTCTCCTCCTCTGAGGCTCCTGTGGCTGTTGGACTCACCTTCCAAATCCCAGATCCCAGATCCTGGTTCACCTGATCCCCCTGTTCAGAAACCCTCACCTGCCTATCTTGGTGCCACATAGAGGTGAGGTCTTTAGCCTGAACGCGAGGTCCTCAGCCTCCCTCTCATGAAGCCAGCCACCCCTTCCCCATCATCCACTTAATCTCAGTCCACTGCTTTGTTCAAACAGCTTTCTTGGTCCAGGTTACCATTCCCCTCACTTTTTTCCCATCCAAAACCTTCTCCATCTGCCCCAGCCCAAATGGATCCCCCCAAAGATGATGGGCACTGACTGCTCTGCAAACCAATCCTACCAAGGCACCAATAGACCCCCCTCTCTTTCCACTGGGAGAGGAGACAAGCCTTAGGAATCTTTACCCCAGTTTTCAGATGCAAATTCTCTAAGCAGGGGCTGGAGGGTTCAGTGGTGAGCCACAGAGGGTTGGGGATCATGACCCAGAATTTGTGCAGGCCATCCCCCTCCCCCTGCCCTGAGCTCCTGAGGCCATGTGAAGACATGGAGATGGGATGACCACAAAGGCTGGCACTGGAACTCAAGAAAAGCAGGATCAAATCCAGATTGTCTCAACTAGAAGGGACCCATTATACTTATCGGGAAACTGAGGCCCAGAGACTGTGGCTATGCCCACAGAGAGGCTTGTGCGAGCAACACCCATTGCTCCACAGCAAGGCAAGGGTAATTTTCTAATTCATACATTGTACTTTTGAGAGCCTTTTTGTGGTTGTTGTTAGTTAACTAAAAACTGCTGCGCTGCAAGGTTGTGAGCACAGACATGCAGAAGGTTAGAGCTGGACAGGACACCAAAGGCCATCTAATCCAGACCTGGGCTAGGGGAAACAGGCCCAGAGGGGCTACGGGCTGATTCAAGGTCACACGGCTTTGAAAGGGAGCTGGATTCCTGGCCATAAACAGGAACATATCTCGCCACGCCAGTGACTAGCCGGACAGAAGCCCTTCCTTCAGCACTTGGCCCTAGGACAGGACGCCAACAGAAGCCCGAGACTGCACAGTGCTGCGTGGTTTGCCCTCACTGGGATCAGGAGCTGGAGTTCAACCTTCCTTCTTGACTCGAGGCGCCCCCACCATGGACACTACCTCCTGGACCGGGGTGGGGGGGGTGGGGGGCTGGGCTGCGGGAGAGCAGCACCCGCCGCATTCCTCTGAAGACACCTCTCTCTGAGAGCTCCCTTCCCCTGCTGCCTCCCTCACCAGAGAGGGGTCTAGAGCCCTGTGGTCAGTCCTGAACACACGCTGGCAGCACGAGGTCTTACAGGCACGGTGCTGCCGTCTACCGCCTGCCCCATCTAACTCCTGCCTCCACTCCCCTCCTCCTCAATTTTGGGAATGGGGCCTCACCGCTGAGAAGAGAGAGAGAAGAGAACGTGCTCACAACACCTTCTAGACGCCAGGCCTGGGGGAAGGTGGGTGTGGGGGCCAGTGCCAATGCCACCTCCTGCCTGCAGCTCCAGTGGCTCCAGGGTCTCCAGCTAGGGCCTTCTCACCTCTATTGGGGATGGAAAGGAACAGCGGCCAAGAGAGAGTGCCAGTGTGGGGAGGAGACAGGCAGGCAGGGAAGAAGCAGAAGGAGAGGAAGAGGAAGAAGCAAAATTACTAAAACTAAAAAGCCACAACCCCAAACAAAACATAGCTTGGGAACTGACGACACTAACACAACCAGCACCAAAGAAAGAAAGCAGGAGCAGGGAGAAGAGACATGGGGGAAAGATCCAGAGTGGGGAAAACAGAGGTGGGGAAAGAGGGGTAGGGAACAGGACAGAGGCAGGGAGAGGGAGGTCAGGGAAGAAGGGAAGGGGAGAGAGAGGCAGAGAGAAGGGAAAGCCAGAGTGAGATGCAGAAGCTGCAGGTGGAGGCCAGGGCGGCAGTGAAGTAGCAGCAGGGCAGGGGCCTGGGGCAGGCGGGGGCCTGAAAATATAGCTTTATATATGGATAGTTATACCTCACATTCCACACAGAAACATACTAGGGGGCAGAAGGGGACGGAAGAAAGGGAGGGGAGGAGGCGACACTGAGGTGGGGATCTAGCCAGTGAGAGCCTCTCACTCCCCAGTGGAAAGCGGAGGGGCCACCCAGCCTCTCCCCTCCTCCCCATTTGGCCTCCACGGATCCAAGCAGGGCCATGCAGAGGGTGTGCAGGGGTGGGCCTCATCTAGGGCTGGGGCTCTCGGGGAGGGCACAGGGGGCAGGACTCCAGGCCCAGGATCCCTGGACCCATAGAGTTAACTCCTTGAGAGCCGTCTGGGGATAACCATGGGCTGGGAGGGGGGCACTCAAGACCCCTGGCTGGGTTGGAGGCCAGCAGTCAGTTGGGCAGTGTATCGAGTCCCAAGGAGGCTGCGTGTTGCTTGGCCCGAAGCCGCAGGTTCTCGATGCTCGTAGTTTTACTGTTCAGGGCAGCTGAGGCAGGTGCCAGGCCTGCGGGGGGCGCGGGCAGCAGTGGGGCCCCCCACACACCCTGGTGAGCAGCGGCGGCTGCTGACAGGGACTGGTAATAGGACTGGCAGTGCAGTGAGCCCAGCGGGGCCATGTTGACGCCCAGGTAGGGCACCGCAGCGGCAGCAGCAGCAGCAGCGGGGGCCGTGCCCCCCACTTCAAAGGATGAGTAGTGCACCAGGTTGTTGGTGGCTGCCATGTGCTGACGGAACTGCTCCTGCAGACGGAAGAGGCTCAGCGGGGATGAGGAGTAGGAGTGGGAGGGGCCCAGGAGGCCTCCCCCGGGGGCTGCAGGAGCCAGGGCCAGGCTGCCCGGGGAATCTGCAAGCAGAGAATCAAGTACCAAGGGCTCAGGACAAGGACAGTGGTCCACCAGCAGGGGCTCCCTCAGCCTTCCCACCCTCTTACGGCTGCAGACAAGACAGGCTTTGGCTGAAACCATATCCACCCAACTCAGTCAGGGCATCCCCTGAAGCATGCCTCAGAATCCTGGGAGGGAGGGACCCAGGCTTCCTGCAGGGGCCCCAGGGACCCTGCCAAGGTCCCCATTTCTGACTTCTTGAGGAGACCCCTTGCCTTTCCAAGGGCTGTCTCCTCCCCATCCCCTCTCCTGTCCATGGCTCCCCTCCCCCTCCAGCTCTCAGCTCACAGCCCCACCCCCTCCCTGCCTGGGCCCAGGCTTTGTGTCTGAGATGCACCTCATGCCACAGCTCTGTTCCTGCTAAAACACGGCTCCGAGTCTCTGCTGCATTTGGGAACCTCTGGTATCAGTATTTATGTACTGGTACGCCTGTACCGGTTGTTAAAATACTGGAATATTTCCATAATGGTTGATGAATAGCTTTTGCCCTGAACTCCCCAAGCATCCCTCCCCTGCCACCCAGACTCTCCCTCAGAACCCCCAAAACCTTCCCAGGATTCAGCAACTAACAGGTGACCATCTGGCCCAGGCCTGCTATGGCTGAGTCCTTTCTAATGGGTCATGCCTGAGCACCATGTGTTCATGGCCAACTCTACCCCCTGCTCTGACCCTCCTCGCATACCCAGGCACCTATCGGCTGCACCTGGCCATTCTCCCCGGGTTGGCCATTCTCCCCCAGCACCCACAGCACCTGCCAAGCCTCACCTGCCTTGGGGCTGCCCCTCTTGCAGCCCAGCCCCTTGCTCTCAGCCCCAGGGCTCTTCTCAGTTTTGGAATCCTCAGCCCCTGCCCGGGGGTCCTCCTCCCGGTCTGGCTGGTCCTCGGGGGCTGACTCACTGGCTGACTGCTCAGACAAGCTCAGGTGAAGCTCAGCAGGGGGGTCGCCGCTGGGCAGGCTGGGGGGCTGGTCAGTCTCCAGCTGGGTGTCTGGGATTGAGGCCTCGGTCTTGCCTTCCCCGCGGGAGCCCTCAGCCTCCTTCTGCTTCTGGAGCTGCTCTTTCTGCAGGCTGCGCTGCTTCTTCCGGAACTTGGCCCTGCGGTTCTTGAACCACACCTGGGGGCGGGGAGAGGAGCAGGAGGAGTGGGAGGGAAAGAAGTGGAGTTGTGGAGCTGGGTGCTCCGGGAGGGGGTGTGCATGATAACACTGCCCCTGCCCCTCTAGGAAACACACACCCTCAATCCTTTCCCAAACTTCCCTCCTATCACTGACGGCATTCGTGGAGACATGAGTGCACTTTGGCACTGAGGGCTGAAACGCTGGCTCCTGGACAATGGGAAGCCAGACTGATGGGCTGGTGCTTGTCTGCAAGGTCTAGTCAGAGGAGCGGGGCCCTACCTGCACCCGGGCCTCAGGCAGGTTGGTGCACATGGCCAGCCTCTCACGCATCACCACATCCGGGTAGTGAGTCTTCTGGAAGGTCTTTTCCAGGGCCTCGAGCTGCTGAGCAGTGAATGCGGTACGGCTGCGACGCTGTTTGCGATGCTGGGAGCCATAGCGGGCCTCCAAGATGATGTCTTGAAATGTACAGCCGTTGGAGGGCAAGGAGAGGGGGCCCATTTAATTATGGGAAATAGGTTTTGAATTTCACCCTGCGCTGACCCACTGCAGACACCCCGGCTCCAGCCAGAGCTGGACCCTGGCCCTTTCCCCCTTGGAAATCACCCATCCCCTCTCCACATGGCTGGGTTTTCAGATCTCTTCACCCCATCATTCACCATCAGGACCACAGAGATCTAACTCATCTCCATGAACAGCTGTCAGGAATGTGATTGAGGGGGGTCTTCCTTATTTGGTTTGGGGATGGGTGGGTAGGTGGGTGGGCATTGCCGTATGATTCTTAAAGTCCTAGGGTACTATGAATATAATATTATGAGATTACATGATTGATGCTAATAATCTGTAAATCCATGTCACAAAGGTTCTAATACCCTATGACCCTTAGACTCTGGATGTGACCAGAATACTAGCTCCTGACCATGAGAAGCCAGGCTGTGAGCTGGGACTTATCTGCAAGGTCTAGTTAGGAGAGGTCTGACTGGGTAGACAGAATTCACTGGCACTTGCTTCCATGTCCTCTGGGTATGAATCCTGTCATCCCTGTTGGCCTATGAGTCTCGGATGGCAGGACCTGAGGCTCCTGCTCTCCTGTCTCCACAACAGAAAGCCTAGCTTTGGCAGGGCCCTCGGAGCACAGGAAAGGCTTGTTGCATCCAGTCTTGACCCTTCTGGCTGCTTCCTCAAGGAGGAAAGGACAAAGAGGCCAGGTTCTAACCATCACAGGCTTGGAGGGGAGACAGGGCTGGTGGACCACTGATTCCACGGTCCTCTCCACATGTCAGTAACATGAAAACCACCCAGGACAGATGTCTGCCTACAGCTGGTGTCTAGCCTCCAGCCCTTCTGCTTCACTAGTCCCTGAAGGATGGACAGTAACCTCTCTCCCCCTGCCTCCCCTCACCCATAAGTGGATCCTGAACGGTCTATGCCAAAGAGAACCGAGCGGTGTCAGCTTCTGCATGGTCTGTGTCAGACTCCGGGACTGGGAATCAATCATCCACAGCACTCTAAACGAGGAAGAAGGAGGCAACTGGGTGTCCAGGAAGCCTCAGATATCAGGTTGCTCCTTCTTAAGTTTACAGAGGGAGCCCTGAACCCTCACAACTGGCGCTAACCCTGGCCCAGACTGAGCCCGAGCTCATGCTGGTCACCCTGGGGTAGGAGGGAGCGGGGGCCCCTCAGGTAGCAGAAGCCTGGTAGAGGGAGCAGCAGCTTAGCGTCCTGCTGGTGGCTCAGGGGCCTGGAGTAGGGGTGGTCAAAGGGGTGGCCGGGCTGTCTGTACCATCAGCAAAACCTCCTGCTGGAAGGCGAGGCCTCCATACAAAGGCCGACCGGGAGCTCGTGTCCCTCCTTCTTAAGAATTAGAGAATTAGGGTGGAGTACTCAATATCCCAGTGCCTCTGCCCCCACCAGGCCAGCGGAGGTAAGCCTCTATCCTTGACCCCTACTCTCTGGGTCCGGAACACAGTCAGGAGCTGGTGTCACCACTAGGCTGAGCACAGGGAATTCACTCCAAACCGGGGAAGCAGTCACAGCCAGGGCAGGACTACACCCACATTCCCACACTAGCTCCCCCAAGCTGATCTACAGAAGGTGACCAGGGCTCAGTTTTACCCACTGAGCCCTGCCCAGAGGCCTGGCAGGGTCTAAAGGAGTGGGAGTGGCTGCCCCACCCTCTCTTCCAGGCCAACACCTCTACCCACGCAGGGTCCTCACACCCCAAACCATTTCTGTGCCTTGGCTCATGCTAGTCCCCCCTCCTTGCCCTTTTAAGGCACCCCCTAGGTGTGCCCTGAAGTCCTCTGATGACCACCTGGCACAGGTGTGGGCCTACACGGGTTCACCAGCTGCTTGAGGTTTGGCCTGGGACAGGATAGGGTAGGTGGTATCACCTCCCAGGAAACCAAGCTCCCCACCTATGCTGTCAAATCCCTCCCACGTCCAGTGAGAGGCTGTCGGGGCAGGTACACAATGAACCAGGAGTGGGGGAAGGCTGCAGCTCCCTCGTGGGCACTTACCTTGGGATGTGAGTAATATGACCTCTGAGCACCTACCAGTCTCTGCTGAATATCACCTGTTATCTCAAATAACTCCCAAACCTTCCTTTGGAGTGGGCACTGCCATTGCCCCGTTTATAAAAGGGGAAACTGAGGCTCAGAGAAGAGAGGTGAGTGGGCAGCCCCTGCAGTGACTGCAAATCTGTGCTTTGAAGCTCATATTTTTAGCCATAATGTCACATTCCAATCCCCTGCCCCACCCTGCCTCGATTTAACCTCTTTGAGCCTCAGTTTCATCATCTGTAAGATGGAGGTAATAACCTCTCCTTATCAGAGTTGAATGGTTTGATGCACAGAGAGCCTCCCACAGGGCATGGCACACAGGCCTGTTCATAACATGGGAGCCATTACTATTTATTTGACTCCCTCTGCCTGAAACATCATCCCCTGGGCACTCCCGCGACTTCTTAGCTGTAATACCCCGGGCTAGTCCCTTACCCTCCTACCTCAGTCTCTTCATTTGCGAGACAGGCTAATGAACCGCCCCCAGAGGGTTGTTATGGGAAGTTGAAGGCACGGGGCAGCTCCAGTGCCGAGCGGTGCTGGTGAACAAGGGGCGCTGCAGAGAGTCACACAGAGATTTTGAATGGACACCTCTCTGTGTTGCTAAGTGACCTGGGTCTTCCCAAGTCTCCCAAAGTAAACTTTCCCCATGCTCCTCCTATCTCTGCCTTCCAGAGCCTCCTCTCCCAGACCTCTCCTCCACCCCGAGCCCCCAAGGTCCTGTCCCCAAGGTCCCGTCCCCACGGCCCTTACCAGCCAGGCGCTCAGCCAGCGTAAGCGCGTGCACCGACGGCCGGTAGTCGGGGGCGTGCTGGGCCTGCTGCGCCGCCTGCTGGTGCAGGTTGTACATGGCGCTGAGCGAGTTGACAGCGTGCAGCGAGTAGCTGTTCACCCCGTAGTGCTGCATCGCGGCGTGCGCCTGCAGACAGGGCAGAGAGAGAGGGGACGGGGGGCAGGGCATCACGCTCTACCCCGGGGAGACACCACCCCCAACCCAGATCTTGGATGCCCACCTCACCCCTAGAGCTTCTGCCTCCCCATCAGAAAGTGGCCTGTCTTGCCCATTGCTAAGAGTGTGAAGGCTCCTGCATTTATCCATTCATTCACTCTCTCATTCACAGGTCCATCCAGCAGGCCTTGTGTAAGCTTTAATGCTCTGGGATCTGGAGTCAGACTGCCTGGGCTAGAATCCCAACTCTGCCACTTAGGAGATTTGTAGCTTTGGGCAAGTTGCTTAACTTCTCTGACCCTCAGTTTCTCCATCTGCAAAATGGGGTTAATAATAGTACTTATCTCTGGGGCTGTTGCAAGGATTACGAGAAGCCTTTCAATAGGGCCTGGCCCATAGTATGTGCTCAAAATGTTGGTCATAGTGATTTATCAATCCACTGGCTCCTTTATGCATCATCTCTTCACATAATCACCCAGACACCTACTCATTTATCCATTCATTGATTCACTCACACACTTATTACTTATCCAACAAATACCCATTGAGGCCCACGTGGGGACATTGAGGCATTTGCTCTGATGAGATAATAGATTAAAACCCTAATGTGCTTTCAGACATAAGAACACTATTGTCATGACTGTTACACATTCAGTGCCATTACCTCCCTCTATTCTTACCATATTCCCAAGAAGCAAGCAGGCCGAGAGCAGTGAACCCCATTCATAGACGAGTCTACTGAGGCTTAAAGAGCAGCAACATGTTGAGGCCACACAGCCAATTCAGCCCCACCCCACATTGCTTCAGCCTCATTCTTTGGTGGCCAATTCATCAGAGAACACAGCCCTCCTACAGAGATGGCTCAGATCAGCACAAGGCTGCCAGGATACTATCAGGCCCTGGTCTCCTCCGGACCCTCAGAGTCCTCATCCAAGCACCCACCATGTTATCAGCCTGAAATGTCATTTTTGAAATGTGGTCTGATGTTTGCAGGCTCCCAAAGACATACAGGTGTTTCCTGTTTCCTCGGCAGGTGCGGGGGTGGGGAGGTTGGGGCAACGGCAGGTCCATTTGATAAGAGGAAGAACATGCCCAGGTATCTCAGCGCCCCACCCCCCCCGAAATAGACACAGGCTATACGTAACCAAACATCCACAGAGCGCACGCACGCACACACGCAGACAAGCACAGACATTTCATGCACAAACACACATACGTAGACATTCTCTGCAAGGCATTCACAGAAGCAGCCACATTCACACACAAACTCATCCATATTCACAAATTCAATGTCATTATTCCCACAGTTCCGCGCACAGACACTCTCACAGATATCTATCTGTGCAGCAGATATATCTCCACACAAACATTACACTCACACACATTTGTATATCACACATATTCATTCAACAAACATTCATTCAGCACCCACCTACTAAGTACCAAACAAAGTTCTTGCCTTCATGTAATTTACATTCCAAGGCGATAAAACAAGAAATAAATATGTGTAATAACGTCAGACAGGAGTAAGTGCTCTCAAGAAAAATAAAGCAGAGGAGAATAATAACAAGAGGAAAAAGAATTATTTTAGAACATGTGGTCAGGAAAGGGCTCTCTGATATTTTAAGTAAGCCATGCAAAGCTCTCGGGGAAAGGCTTTCCAGGCAGAAGGAACAACAGCGAACAAGCTTGGTATGTGTGTGGAATAGCGAGAAACCAGGGTAGCTGGAGCACAGAGAGGGAGCGAGCGGGGGAGATGAAGTTGGGGGGAGAGGAGGGGCCAGATCCCGAGGGCTCCACGGCCCATTATAAGGAGTTTGAATTATATCCTGAGTGAGAAGGGAAGCTCCTGGAGGGTCTTCGATAGGGGAGTAACCATATGATTTGCTGTTAAAAGCTCACTTTGGCTGCTGTACAGAGAACAGACCACAGAGGATCAAGAAGAGGAGAGACCAGTCCACTGCGGAATCCAGGCCAGGAACCGAGGTGCTTTCCACTATGGCTGTAGGAGTGGAGAGGGTGAGAAGGGCTCAGATTCAGGGCATAGTTTAAAAGTAGAATCGACATGATTGCTGAGGGGTTAGTTATGAGATGTGAGGAAAAGAGGGCAAAAAAGGATGACTCAGGGTTTTGGTCTGAGCAACTGAGTGAAGATGGGTCTTTTCTTGAATTGGGAGCATTGGGGAAGAAGCGGGTCTGCAGAAGGGGGGATTGGAAATCAAGGTTTTGGGGCGACATGGAAAGCGTGAAATATGGATCCAACTTCCAAGTAAGAATTGGCAGTCGGATGTACGAGTCGGAAGCTGAGGGCTGGGTTTACAGATTTCTGAGTCGGTACTCACACATGACACCTACCGACAACACTTACAGAAGCCCACTCTGTGCACCATAAACATGACCCCAAAGGCAGAGAGCTAAGAGAATGATGTGGCACATCAAGTGTTTAAACATTTGTATAACAGAATGTACCATTAACAAAGCAAAAAGGCAAATAACAAACCTGGAAAAATATCTACCATATATATACGACATAGCAAAATTGATAAAAATAAATAGCACAAATAAAAATAAAAGAGAGGGGCTGGCCCCATGGCGCAAGTGGTTGGGTGCGCATGCTCTGCTGCGACGGCCCAGGGTTCACCGGTTTGGATCCCGGGCGCGCACTGACGCATAGCTTGTTGTTTTTTTGTTTTTATTTTATTTTATTTTATTTGTGAGGAAGATCGGCCCTGACATAACATCTGTCAATCCTCCTCTTTTTTTTTTTTTTTTCCACTGGAGAAGACTGGCCCTGGGCTAACATCCATGCTCGTCTTCCTCCACTTTATATGGGACGCCGCCACAGCATGGCTTGACAAGTGGTGTGTCGCTGCGCACCCGGGATCCGAACTGGCGAACCCTGGGCCGCCGCAGCGGAGCACACGCACTTAACTGCTTGTGCCACCAGGCCAGCCCCCGATGCACCGCTTGTTAAGCCATGCTGTGGCGGCGTCCCATATAAAGTGGAGGAAGATGGGCATGGATGTTAGCCCAGGGCCAGTCTTCCTCGGCAAAAAGAGGAGGATTGGCAGATGTTAGCTCAGGGCTGGTCCTCCTCACAAAAAAAGAAATTAAATTAAATTAAACAAATAAAAGAGAATATCCATAATATATAAAGAGCTCTTATATAGAAACAAAAAAGGTGGTCACCTTAATGAAAGATGGGCTAAGGAAGTTAGAGCAACTTCTTGAGGAAGAAACACAAGTAGCCGTCTGACACAGGACAAAAAGCTCAGCCTTACTTGTAACCAAAAACATAAAACTAGAAACAGTGAACACCATGTTTCACCAGATTAGCAAATATGAGGGAATATCATTACCCAGGGCTATCCAGGGCAGTGGGAAATGGTCCTTCTCCCACCTCCTTGACAGAACAGCTCTTTAGTCCCTGCGTCAACAGCCTTTAGAGAGAGCACCATTTGACACAACAATTCCATTTCCAGAAACTTATCCTTCAAGGGTGCAGAGATGTGTGTGCAGGAGTGTTCATCACAGCTCTGCTTACGATGGCAAACAACTGGAGACCTCGCTGTCCATCAAGAGAGGTTCAGTTCAGCAAATGACGGGACAGTCGTGCCTGCAGTGGAATATGGTGCCACAGTTTCAAACAATGCTGTGTGTCTGTATGTGCTGATGCTCACAATACACCATTGAGCGGGAGAAATAGGTATGGCACGCATGATGTGAGCCCATCTTTGTAATGTATGTATAAATATGCATAGAAAAAAGTCTGGACGCTTACACCTTGAAATGTTAACAGAGGTTATCTCTAGGAGATAGCAGATGGGATTACAGGTGATTTTCACATTCATATTCTTTCTTTCTTTCCTTTTTTGAGGGTGGGGATGGGGAGGGTTATCCTTGTGTTCCAACGGATGTGGGGATGGAGCCAGGCTCCAAAATGTGTCACAAGCTCCAGGTGGGGAAGAGAGAACAGAGTAGAAGTAATTTTATCCATCCCTTCCCCCCAACTGCTGGGCTGGAATCCTCCACCAAACTCAGAGACTTTGTTGCTTTAAAACTCACTGCTATTAATGTGGTGACATTTTAATTGACTTAATAATTGCTGATCTCACAGTTTTTGACGCACAAGTCTTTATTAACTGAAGCCAGAAGAGGTACCTCTCTCAGCCCCACAACTGCCCCAACCCATGGGCCCTCTAAAGGTCTCCAAGACCTTCCCAGTCTGGCCTCTGCCCACCCCTCCAACCTGAGGCCCTCCCCTCCCCAGCAGCGGAATTATCAGATTACCTGCCACTCCCTCTTGCCTTTGCTCCTGAAACACCTCTCCCCTTCTCCCCCTTCTCTCCCTTCGCCCAAGAAATTCCTCCTCTCCATCAATGCCTAGTTCAAGTGATACCCTCGAGAAAATAGGGCCTTCCCCAACTCATCCCTGAGAAGGCCTCTCTCCCCTCTCCAGGCTCCAGATAACTAAGCTCACGTCCCAGAAATGATGATAACAACAACAACAAGAATAATAATAGCTACCATTTACTGAACACACTCTCTGAGCTCTAGCTCACCACACAAAGCACCTTACATGGATTTTCTAGATTCTAGTGCCTGGATCAGAGTAGTGTGCTACTTCCATCTCCCCCACTAGACTGAGCTCCTTGAGTGCAGAGAGTGTATCTCATGCATTTCTGGGCTCCCCAGCCCAGCCCAAATCAGAGGGGCTGGTACAGAGGCAGGCTCAGGAGATGAGGATCGGATGAATGAATTAAGAATAACAACTATTGGGGCCAGCCCAGTGGCGCAGCAGTTAAGTGTGCGCGCTCCACTTCGGCGGCCCGAGGGTTCGCAGGTTCGGATCACGGGTGCGCACCAACGCACCGCTTGTCAAGCCATGCTGTGGCGGCGTCCCATATAAAGTAGTGGGAGATGGGCATGGCTGTTAGCCCAGGGCCAGTCTTCCTCAG